TATTGTTTTGGGCGATTTTAGGTCCTTAATCGACTTTACAATTTAAACGTAAGTTGAATTGAATTAAATATTTCCATGCTGTAAAGCAATATTCATTTAAATAGAATTTTTAATAGTTTTCCATAATTTAAAAAACGTTTTGTAGATTAACATTTATTGAAATTTTACTCTTAGATATTTCTCTACTAAGAATCCTTTAAAATTTTTCTAAAAGAACAATTTAGGTAGTTGCCTCCTATACTTAGATTAACAATTTAGGCAATTGCTTCGTATACTCAGATGAACAATTTAGGCAGTTGTCTCCTATACTTAGAAGAACAATTTAGGCAATTGCTTCCTATACTTAGATTAACAATTTAGGCAATTGCTTCGTATACTCAGATGAACAATTTAGGCAGTTGTCTCTTATACTTAGAAGAACAATTTAGGCAGTTGTCTCCTATACTTAGAAGAACAATTTAGGCAGTTGTCTCTTATACTTAGAAGAACAATTTAGGCGATTGCTTTCTATACTTAGAAGAACAATTTAGGCAGTTGTCTCTTATACTTAGAAGAACAATTTAGGCAGTTGTCTCCTATACTTAGAAGAACAATTTAGGCAATTGTTTCCTATACTTAGAAGAACAATTTAGGCAGTTGTCTCCTATACTTAGAAGAACAATTTAGGCAATTGCTTCCTATACTTAGAAGAACAATTTAGGCAATTGCTTCCTATACTTAGATGAACAGTTTAGGCAGTTGTCTCATAAACTTAAAAGAACTTAGATGTTGTGGTCTCTTCTGTGCCGAGTATATACGTACGTTCCCAAACGTAAGTCTGGTACCTATTAGAGCTGAGGAGACTTTTGGGTTAGTAATCAAGTACTCTACCACTCTACCCCCCCCCCCCACACACACACGCACACACATACACACTTCTCGGAGCACAGTAACTGTAATTTATATAAAAATATATTCTTAAACCGGTGTCATCCCTCGAACCCCGGACATTTAAGTGCCCCCACCCCCACCCTCCGAAAGTTTCAAGTCTCCCCACCCCGGAGTTAAGGGGTCGTCCATAAATGACGTCACACTCACAGGGGGGAGGGGTTCCGTAATTTTGTGACGGTGTGAGATGAGGGGGAGGGGGGTCAGATGGTGCGACGTCACACTTTTGCATTATAAAAAGCTATGTTAGAAAACGAATTTTAGACGTTATTTCGCGTTTTAGTAAACTGTTTTAATAAATTGTAATAGGAATTGATTAAAATACTCTATGTTGAGAGAGTTCAGACAAGATTTTGGAAAAAATATCGATGTTTCAAGAAAAATTCAACAGCAATTTTGATTAGGGTTGTAGGCTGAGGTGTGACGTCATTTTAGGGGGGGGGTCTGGCTTTTTGTGACGATGTGTGACGGAGGGGAGGGGGAGGTAAAAATCGTCAAAAAAGCGTGACGTCTTTTATGGATGACCCCTAAATATCTGGAAAAAAAAACTGAATGCGATAATGAACTAGAGTGGGGTCAATCGGACACTGAAACTCTGAGAGTTGGACATTTTACTGACCACATATAACGATGTGTGTAGCATTGAACACGTCGTGTGTAGTAATTACAAAAACAAATCGATACAACCAACTTGTCACTGAGGAACTAACTCCTCCACGATCTTACACGCGCATCAGCCGGTGTCAACATTTTAAACGGTCACGCTTCAAATATTTCATTTCTTCTTAAATTAAATGGCAATCAGGAAAGAAGAAACGAACAAACGCAAGATATTTTAATAATGATATCTACAGCTAGCATGCTCGTCCTATAGAATCAATTATGCCGTCACGTTTTGTATAGAACAATTCATCATAACAAAAATCTGAAAGTTATTAGTTTTTCTTATCAGGGGAAGTAACTAAAACAACCCGACGGCTGAGAAAGTCGGGTAAGGAGTGGGACCGGTCGCTTAATTCTAGAACCTTCTCTCTCATGACTTTAGTGGTTTCTTTAACGTTTTGAGGCACTATTTCCACGCTTATTTTATAAGTTATTTACAACAGTCATTTCTGAAACAATAAATCAGAAAATCAGTGCAATCTAGGCTTTCAAAATAGCTTTAGATTTAAATGGAAAATTAACATGTGTCAATAGGCAAACATTTTAAAACATCTTTAATTGAATCTAATGTAAACCATCTAATTTATACCAGTACTCCCTGTCGCGTAATGAACATCCCAATTAGTCATACGTTCATTTGTCAGGAATCGGCGTGTCCGAGTCGGTAAAGCTCATGGTTGCTAAACCGTAAAGTATGGTGCAAATTAAAGAGGACCTGGTCAATAGCCAATTTAACTTTGCTTTTCTAAATTTTTCATAAAATGATTTATCAAAATTTAATTAATAGAATAAAAATTGTATTTTTTAAATAAGTTTCAATTTTTACATACATGAAATTTGCGAACTAAATAACAGAAGATGCAATTAACAAACGTTTCTTTTTTACTTTCTCGTATATACGAAGTAGGTATAGAGAAAGTCTTGTAATCGTGCAAAAAAAAAAAAACAATTATTTTTTTCAAATCTCGACGTTTTACACCTCACTAATACGGAAAAACATAATTTTGTAATTTTGTCCGTATGTCTGTGTGTCTGTCTGTCTGTCTGTCTGTCTGTCTGTCTGTGTGTAAACACGATAACTTGAGTAGCGTTACAGCTAGTTTGATGAAATTTCATATAGAAATATTTTATCAAAATCGTAGATCCTGGTCAACTTTTGAGCGATTTCCGATAACCGGAAGTAGTACTTTTTCTACTTTGAATTTTTCAAAAGCCTATAACTTGAGTACTATTTCAGATAGATAAATGAAATTTCACATGTAAGTAAAATATCTAATTCTCTACCTTGAATAATTTCCGTTGACAGGAAGTACTAATTTACGCTATTTCCGATTTCTCAAAAAACGAATGTAAATTTATAAAGTACTAATAATTTTTTTTCTTTGAGATTCTATTCTATTTTTAAAAGATATAGTAATTAAAAATCATGTCTATATTCCAAGTTATATAAGAATATTCGAGAAAGTTTAGGCGAGATCACTCCCGGTTTAATTTTTGTGTGTAGGTAACATTAATTGAAATAAATCTTCCATTAAGTTTACTGTATTAATGCTATATTGTTTTCATTTTAATTATATATATATATATATATATATATATATATATATATATATATATATATATATATATATATATATATATATATATTACCACCAGGTCTCTGGTAGTGTTGACCACTGGCCGTTAAAAGGTCTGCATTTCGTCTTGTCTCACCCTCTTTCCCTCTGTGTTAACTGTATAGTTGACCTGGCTATTTTGACTTTTTACTTTCTCGTATATACGTAGTATAGAGAAAGTATTGTAATCGTGAAAAAAAAAAAATCGAGATTTTTACAAATCTCGACGTTTTACACCTCACTGATACGGAAAAACATAATTTTGCAATCTTGTCCGTATGTCTGTGTGTGTGTGTGTCTGTCTGTCTGTCTGTCTGTCCGTGTGTAAACACGATAACTTGAGTACCGTTACAGCTAGGTTGATGAAATTTCATATATAAGTATTTTATCAAAATCGTAGATCCGTATCAACTTTTGAGCGATTTCCGATAACCGGAAGTGGTACTTTTCCTACTTTGAATTTTTCAAAAGCCTATAACTTGAGTACTATTTCAGATAGATAAATGAAATTTCACATGTAAGTAAAAGATCTAATTCTCTACCTTCTGTTAAATTTTGAGTAATTTCCGTTGACTGGAAGTAGTAATTTACGCTACTTCCGATTTCTCAAAAAACTAATGTAAATTCTTAAAGTACTAATAATATTGCGCACTATTATACGCGTTTTTATTCGGCGTTTGTTTGGTGCGCAATGTTTTTTTTATGAGATTATATTCTATTTTTAAAAGTTTAAGTATTTAAAATGGATTAAAAATCATAACTATATCCCCAGTTACCATCCCCTGTTGTTTTATATAAGAATATTCGAGAAAGTTTAGGGGAGATCACTACCGGTTTATTTCATTATATCAACATTAGCAATCAGCTGATATTTGATACAAAAAAAAATCTTGTACTGTTAATTTACTTATAATTTATTTTTTAAATGCTTTTTGCTTTTGTTATTACAGAAAAACATACGGCATTTAAAGTAAGAAAGCGATTCACAAAATGGTTTCGTGTTCCGCCCTGTCATCTCGTCATCTCTTTGTTTAAAATTTGAGTGACAAGAAACACCAAGTGTGTGTGTGGGGGGGGGGGCATATCCTGTAGTGGTCACCGGTCAACAACGTTCAACACAAAATGTGTTCACAGCTACAAGATCTATATTCCCATTTTTAGATTCTCGTATATTCGAAGTATAGAGAAAGTCTTGTAATCGTGCACATTTTTTTTTTACAAATCTCGACGTTTTACACCTCCCTAAGTCGGAAAAACATATTTTTTCAATCTTGTTCGTATGTCTGTGTGTATGTGTGTGTGTCTGTAAACACGATAACTTGAATACCGTAACAGCTAGGTTGATGAAATTTCATATAGAAGTATTTTATAAAAATCGTAGATCCGTAACAACTTTTGAGTGATTTCCGATAACCGGAAGTGGTACTTTTTCTACTTTGATTTTTTCAAAAGCCTATAACTTGAGTACTATTTCAGATAAATAAATGAAATTTCACATGTAAGTAAAAGATCCAATTCTCTACCGTCTATCAAATTTTGAATAATTTCCGTTGACCGGAATTAGTAATTTAAGCTATTTCCGATTTCTCAAAAACGCATGTAAATTTATAAAATACTAATAATATTCCGCAATATTATGCACATTTTGTTTTGGCGTTCGCTTGGTGCGCAATTCTTTTTTCTACGAGATTCTATTATATTTTTAAAAGTTTATTAATTAAAAATCATATCTATATTCCGAGTTGCCATCCCACGTAGTGTTATATAAGAATATTCGAGAAAGTTTAGGGGAGATCACTTCCGGTTTATTTTAATCGTAACTGATTGACAAAAAATGGCATGGAACGTCAGACGATATTTAGAGCTCATTTTATAATAGAGGAAAATGTTAATGCTGGAGTTGATGGCGCCGAAGACAAAAGCGAACGACCACAAGACGTAGAACAGGTTCTGGTAGTAGCCGATGATGCTGATGCCCTCAACACAGATGGACGTTGTGGAGACGAGTATGTTCGGCACGGAGCAGACGATTAAAATACTGGATATCAACAGAACCATCTTCATGGCTTTCTTGTCCCGTGTAGATTTGGTCTCGGCTAGTTCAAGCTTGTGATGTTTGCGCCACTCCGAGCTGTTCTTCAACTTCCAGACAAGAACCGAGGTGAAGACAATCACTAGCAGCAGGGAGAAGATACCCATCAGGCCGTTCATCAGGAAGGAGAAGGAATCAATGTCCTTCCTGTTGCTGGTGAAGTAGATACCAATCAGGCGGATGCTGCTCGTGTTGGTCATGTGGTGCACCTTCCAGTCGAAGTATGTGGTGACGAACTCGGGTAGGACCATGAGGATGGAGATGATGAAGATGAAACACATAATAAAGGTTGTCCTTCTTGGCGTGATCATCTGCTTGACGGTCAGAGGAAATGTGATACAGATGCACCTCTCGGCCGTGACGTAGGCCATGATGAGACACGTGGTCCTGGTGAAGCAGACGTGCGGCCAGCCTGCGAGCAGGTACTGGACCTCGCGCGTGTTGACCTGGATGTCGGAGTACTCGACCAGCGGGTTGAGCAGGAGAGCGAAGTCTAAGAGCGTGAGGAGGACACACAGGTCTGACACGGCTAGTCCGAAGAAGCCGATGTTGGTGGTGGACTGCAGGCCTTGCTTGTAGAAGACCGCCATGTTGATGACGTTTGTCGCGATACCAAACACGGACAGCGTCCCGCCAAGCGAGACGTAGTTGACCAGCTCGATGACCTCACGCGTCTGACGGGGTGGCAGCACATCCCGGGGGTCGTTTTCTGCAACCATCTTTTAGAAGGTCAAGGTTTGTTATCTATGCGTCTTGGGTAGTATCCTTTAGTGATGTGATGGCACTCTATGTTGGGAGGAAAGATTCAGTTGAAACAAACTTGCACGGAACCATAACTTAGAACCATAAAAAATATATTTCATTACAATTTACTCTATTTTAGTAACTATTTAGTATATAAGTTAATCAAATCATTAGTTGTGTAGTTAACGAAATAGGGATCAATTACTCGAAAATTGTACACCTGTTTTAAGGAAGAGTTTGTCGAAAAATCAAAAGTTACTACTACAGAAATATAAAAGTTTCGGGGAAGACGTTAAATCCAGCTTTTGGCCCGCTACTACCAGCGTCTGCTCAAAGACAAAGAATGAGTTCCCTAATCAATTTAGTAAACAAAAAAAAGTATTCCTCGCCTCGCGTCAACCAAACGACAAGTGATCAATATAAAATCTTGGAAATAACGAGCCTCACTGAACAATACGTTCTTTGGTTGCTATACTCTCATGCCATTTAAAAAACAACATAGCTTTAACAAAACACAACAAACTTGCAGGACTTGACATTTGTCCAGCGAATATCAGGCCAGTAATTATGTAACGACTACTACCTAAAGAGACGTTTGTCCAGCGTATGGGACATATCAGGCCAGTAATTATGTCACGACTATTACTCAAAGAGGCGTTTGTCATATACCATGACGGCCTATACTTAAACATACAGACAACAGTTAACTTGTCTCGAGACACATTTCTTTGTTGGAATCAATCCTCAGAGTGGTGAGTTTCTGACAATCAATCTATTTTAAAACTGAAACATGTAGGGCTACCTGGTATTATTTTTAGTCAACAGATAATACTTCAGATGTAGAAGTGGCTTGTTGGTCAAAATATAATACTTCTGGTAAAAAGCATTTCTGGTGGAGAAACGGTCTTATAGTCAAATGATAACATTTCTACTAAATGTTAACATTTCTAATAAATGTTAACATTTCTGGACAACGTGGGCTCAACTGCGGAGAAGTGGCTGCTGTTGTACAGACTATTATAAGGGAGAAAGTGGTAAAAAAACGAAAAAATTTTAAAATTATTTAGAACACTACTTTTATTTTACTTTCATGTACCTATCTAATTTGTATCAATTTATATGTAAGTATGTATATATAAATATATTTATATGTATATTATCTGTTTTATTACTAATATGTATATATATATAAATATAAATATAAATATATATATATATATATATATATATATATATATATATATATATATATATATATATATATATATATATATATATTACATATATTCTCTACACCCATTAATCTAGTGAACACAAACCAAAGTATTTTCACTTGTAAAGTTGTAACCAAGAGACAAGAGACTACATAGTAAAGAAATTCTCAATATCGCTTTTTTAAAACCCATTTTAATTAGTGCTGCCGAGTTGATAATTAATAATTACATTCTACTAAAAAAAAGTAGATTACATTTGACTGCTGAAACATTGTTTTAATTAGCATCCTACAAAACTCGATTCATTATTTTTTTTATATCTTTGTGAATTTTTGTTGTTGTTGAGCTACTTGAATTCTCTTTGTACCTTTGATCAATAGTAATTTTTTTTCCTTAAATTAAATTTAATTATAAGCGATCTCGTCAATGAAAGGCTTTGATTTCTTTAATTTTAATTTGCTTTGAAATGTCTAATCAAGGACGACCCTTGAAGTTTCTGTGTCCTAACCTTAAGAAAGTGTAATCTGTTTTTACGGTCACCTGATGACTGAGATATATGTTACAAAATTATAAGTTTTATTTTTTTATTTTTTTAAAGAAATTATTTTTATCTCAAACATCGTTATATGTCGTTAGGGGTCATCCATAAATGACGTCACACTCGTAGGGGGGAGGGGGGGTCCGTAATTTTGTGACGATGTGTGATGAGGGGGAGGGGGGGGGGGGTTCAGATGTTGCGACGTCACATTTTTGCATTATAAAAAAGCAATGTTAGAAAACGAATTTTAGACGTTATTTCGCGTTTTAGATAACTGTTTTAATAAATTGTAATAGTTTAGACAAGATTTTGGAAAAATATCGATGTTTAAAAAAATTCAACTGCAATTTTGAGGGGGGTTGTAGGTTGAGGTGTGACGTCATTTTAGGGGGGGGGGGTCTGGCTTTTTGTGACGACGTGTGACGGAGGGGAGGGGGGGGAGGTAAAAATCGTCAAAAAAAGCGTGACGTCATTTATGGATGACCCCTTATACATGAAAACTATAAATGGTAGTCTACTCAATTACTTGATTTAGTATTGAGGAGTCAGGTTTATGGCACAAGAGTAGAACATAAGTCTAAGGTCTAAATGTACAGTTACAGATTTAGTTCGTTTGGTCTATGTGTTCTGGGGTTTTGGCTAGTTTGAGTTTAATTGCAAAGTCTAGGACTAGATTTGGATCAATGTGTAGTGATCAGATTTAAGCCTGCGATTACATGTGTTATGTAGCTTTATGATGAAGTGTCTGGGCTGCGCGTGTATGTAGGCTAAACCCTTATATAGGCCTCGGTAAAAATGTTGATATTATTCGATAACTGGATAGTAGGTTTCTGGATTGAGCTATGTCTAATGTGTATTTTAAACTTAGTTTGAATGGTAAAACTAGCGAGATTTATAATTTTCTAAAATCAGTATAGCTTATAAAAAATGTTTATATGCATACATTATATAAAGATTTTAAGAGCGCAAGACTGTTTATAATGACGGTCAAAAATTTAAAATAGTTAAGCCAGTGCTCTTTCATGTATTGATTCCATGGGGTGTGTTCTGACCCTCCCCTGCCTTCCCCACCTTCTAAAACCCTTGCCTAGACGACAGCCTACCTAAAAAGGTAACCTCAATTGGGCCTCTGTCTCCGCGTGGTTCAGCATAGAAGCACGTGCCTGATAAAGACGGCAACACGTGCACGCCTAAGAAAGACAACTGTCCATGAAGGGGGGGGGGGGGTAGTTTCGAGCCCATCTAACACCCCCTGCCTATACTATAGGTGAGGCTAAAAGTCTCTGGGCTAGTTGCAGGGGCGGAACTACACTGCCGCCAGAACCCGCAATGCGGGGGGGGGGGGGCACGACATTTAGGGGCCCACAGCCGACCATAATCAATTTTTTATAATTAAAATTAATTTTCTTGCATTTTTTACTTCATGGTTGTTTTGTGTGTGTGTGTATATATATATATATATATATATATATATATATATATATATATATATATATATATATATATTATTTATTTATTTATATGGGGGGCCTAGAATTTTTTTTGCGGGGTGGCCCTTTTTTTCTAGTTCCGCTACTGGTTAGTTGACGAGGCCTAGAGTCGGAACTTGATCATTCTATCACAGTTTGAAACGAATGCTAAACGTATTCTTATATTGGTAAAATAGTTACATAATTCGTTTGTCCTCCGCTAACTTTAAGCAACTGTATATAATTCAAACTAAGCTCATGGTTGCTGAACCGAAAAGTCCCGAGTTCGAACCCGCGGACAGATGAGGCTAGATAAGCTGGGGAGAGCAACTCTTCTAAGAGAGACAACTCCAAAATCAAGCAACTGCTGCCTTGTAGTTTGTTCTTGGTTGGCCAAATGCTAGAGACAAATCCAAAAAGAAAGCAGGCTGAAATCGGAATCAACGGCCTCAATGGCGCACAACAAGTTGACACGTACATAATAATTAATTGTGGAGGAAATGTCTTCCAACACTTAAATTAAGAACGAACGAGAAGTCATTCGTGGATTTAGAAATGTCAGTAAATCCATTTTATTAAATCATTTTCTACTTTTAGTCTACACACTAGCACCACATTTCAATCTATTGAAAGGAAAATATGTCAAAATTTGGTCTTATTAATTACAGAAGACAATTATATTTTTTTTCCAGAAATACATGTGCGCATTTTATGAATATATGTGTTGCATCTTGTTCTATCTCAGGGGTATTGATGTACTCAAAATTGCTATAAACTAGAAAATCTGACTATCATCTATGCATGTTATCCAGTTACCCACACTATCCTTCATGTATCTCCCTGGTAACACAACCCCTCCCCCCCCCCCCCCCCCCCACGAAATAGTAAAAATAAAATTTTAAAATGTACATTTTTGAAACCACTCTGGCATAATTTACTATTACTTGCATAAACTGTTGATTTATTTAGTAGATCTATACTAAATAATAACTTGATTTTCCTAATTTCATTGCAAAATTTTAAAAGCTTGTTAACGATTTTAATTTTATTCAGTTATTTAAAATAAATGAGTGGTTTATGAAAATCTATCCGTGTAAGAAATGTGACTATTTCTTATTGTTTAGGCTAAGAATTTTTTGTAAAGAAATGTAAAGATCTACTTTAAAAGTATTCTTTTTATTTTGTATAACATACAAGTTTGATCTGCTATAAAGGAAAAATAATTTATGAAATAGAAACATAAGTTACTTCTTAACAACAGCCGTTTCTAGTGTAATAGTCACAAATGGAGAGAAGGGGTAAACTCATTGTTTGTTCCATTTCTTTAAATGCCACTTTTGATTACTTAATTATATTACCGAGTTGGTAGTGCATTGAGTAGGTGTGTAACAATAGACATTTAACACCAGACAGCCACATTCACAAGAAATTTAATACCCAACAAAACAACTAGCAAATAATTTATTGAAAAGAACAGTTGATAATTTTTTTAACATCATTTTCTTAATCATACATGTTCACATTTTATGAGCACATTTTAATTTTGATAGAACTTTAAAAACAACCACAAAATCTAAAAAAAATAAAATTGTTAAGCTGATTACCTGTTGAAAATAAAAGCATATCTAAAATACTCTTCAACAAGTGAATGTAATCAAATACCAAACCAAAAATAAACAGCTCCTAATCAAGCATGTTGTAAGAGAAAGTTAAGACAACCTTCCTGGTCAACACTTTGGAAATACGATAAATAA